TCAAAGGCGCCTAAATGTCTAGCACAGCCTATAGATGCATGCAGAGCCAGACTGGTCAAAAGAAAGTTCCCTATCAGTCCACAGTCGCTCTTGCCAATCTAATTGTCCAATTAACATAGCTCTGATTATATTTTATTATATCATCCTATAATTATTAATTATAGTTAATATTATTTTATTTGTTCATTCATTCATTCATTTGTTCATTCATTCATTTTTTCATTCATTCATTCTCTAATTCATTCAATCATCAATTCATTCAGTTATAAACAAAATAAATATAACCGTATAAACGCACAAACAAAGATACACACACGCACACACACACACACACACACACACTCATTCATTCTCACACCAGCAAAAAGTACGTACCAAACTCAATTTGTCCTAATTAAAATGTACAGCATTATTCTATTACATAATGTATTCTGTTTATAAAATGTATGCCTAAAACTTGTATGCGCACAATACACACTTACACACACACGCACACACACACACGCACACACACACACGCACACACACGCACATACACACACACACACACACGCACACACACACACACGTACCCACACACATAAATACAGACACACACACACACACACAAGCACACACACATATATATTTGTAGAAGTGGAAGTACTGTGTACTGTGTAACCTAGTACAGTGTCGTGAATGACAAAAACAGTTCAATTCAGCGTCGATAACCTATTAAGAAGATTAGTGATGTTGTTGTTGTTGTTGATGTTGTTGTTGTTGTTGATGTTGTTGTTGTTGATGATGTTGCTGCTGATGTTTTTGATAATGTTGCTGTTGTTGCTACTGCTGTTGTTGATGTTGTTGATGTTATTGTTGTTGATGTTATTATTGTTGATGTTATTGTTGTAGGTGTTGTGGTTATTGTTAATGTTATTATTGTTGATGTTGTTGATGATGACGATGATGATGATGATGATGACGATGATGATGACGACGGTAAGGATGGATTAATTTTTTAGTTGAGCCACTTGTTCGTTTATTAATATATCGATTAGTATTTGGTTTGGTTGATGATGTCTGTCTGTGTATGTGTGTGTGTGTGTGTGTGTATGTGTGGTGTGTGTGTGTGATGTTTGTTGTCAAGTTATTGATTTCTCCATAAAAGTTTTTATTATTTGGTTGCCATTATGTTTCTAATTAAACTGATTAAAGTAAAATTGGCCATTTCTGATTTCCTTGTTTTTTGCATACAAATGAAATTATTTTGAAGTTGCTGATTTGTTGTTGTTGTTGAAAGATTTGTTGATATGTGGTTGCTATTTGTTTGTTTGTTGTTTGTTTTTGTCAATGTTGTTGTTATTGTTGTTGTAGTTGCTGTTGTAGTAGTAGTCGTTGCTGTTGTTTTAGTTGTAGTAATAGTAGTAGTTGTTGTTTTAGTAGTAGTAATAGTAATAGTAGTAGTAGTAGTAGTAGTAGTAGTAGTAGTAGTAGTAGTAGTAGTAGTAGTAGTAGTAGTAGTAGTAGTAGTAGTAGTTGTTGTTGTTGTTGTTGTTTCAGATGTTGCGTTCATTTCAACTTGTGGCCTCCTTGTATCTAGCAAATGTTTTTGGGATTTTTTTTTAGCAGCAGTGATTTGGCATTTCGTTTACTTTGTGTATTCGTTTGAACATTTATTGAGGCTGTTTCGAATTCAAACTATGAAAATTCACAAAAAAAGTACTTAAAAGTACCAGGTAAAAAAAGCGCTTTTTTGTATTTTTAGTTTCCCGCCATTTTTCAAAAACACCTCATTAAAACGCCGCCAAAATCTCACAGAGACGACCGACCCAGCGTACGTCAACCCACATTGGTGATTAACTTTTATCACCTTGATGACGAAAGCGAGGGCGTGTCTTGTTTCCCGAGGGTGCTGACTTGAAAGTGAATAATTTCGTAAAACGTGTGAAGCGCTATAAAAATAAGGTGACATAATGGTTAATTCGGAAATGTTGTCGCTGGCTGACCATAGAAAGAGAAGAGTGACGACGATGACGACAATGATGGTGACATCATTATTCACACAAAATATTATCATAAATAAACGTAGACACATTACATCACATATAAACACACACGTACACACACACGCACGCACACACGCACGCACGCACGCACACACATACAATGTGAAAAAACAAACCAATACGTTATATGTTGGCTGTTGGCAGAGTGTGTTTAGCATTAATATTTGTAAGTATGCTTGCGTATGAGTAGTTTTATGTTTGTGTATGTGTATTTGCAAGTATGTGTGTGTATTTGTGTGTGTGTTTATGTCTGTATACGTGTCTGTATGAATCTTTTTGTACGCTCAAGCCTCATGGATGGAAATGTTGTGGGAGTTGGGGGACTCTATAATCAAAGGGTGAAATGCATTTAATTGATGACGACGATGACGACGAAGATGATGACGGTCATAGTGATGACGTGTCTGTCGATGGTGTTAAAGATAATGATGAAGAAGAAAATGAAGAAGAAGATGATGATGATGATGGTGATGTTAGAAATGATGATGGTGGTTGCGACAACAATGATGATGGTGATGACAACTACGATGATTACGGATGTGAATAGAAAATAATAATCATAAAAACACGCAAAAAACGTAACATTTGTAAACGATTTCACGCACACAAACACACACACACGCACACAAGCACACACACACACACAAGCACACACACACAAGCACACGCACACAAGCACACACACACACACGCACACGCACACACACAAACACAAACACACACACACACGAGCACACTCACACACACGCACACACACGCACGCACACAAACACACACGCACACGACAGCGTAATTATAACAAATACCTATTAGAAATCACGCAGGTAAATTCACATGTGCAGGAAAAATATTTGACGCACACACACCCACATCTCGCACACACACACATATATATATATATACATACACACATACACATATATATGCGTGCACACATACATACATATATACACTTACATACAACATACATACATAAACAAAAACACGTAGATATATACGTACTTCAGCAGATAAATAATTACCTATACAATGTTTTAACATATACAAACACACACTCTCACACAAAGGCAGACACACATAAAGAGATGTGTACACACATACATCCACGCATTCATGTAATGAGACATATACAAATACATACACAATAGTAAATACAAAACTTGATCTAGATACAAATACACAAATGTAGATGCAAAACTTGATACAAAACTTGATCTAAACACACACACTCAAAACCATACATACGCACGCAGACGTACACACGCACACACACGTACACAAATTAACTTCTAGATAGAAGTCGCATTAAATAAATTATCGCGGGCAGAGAAGCATAGACACTTAATTACAAAGAGGACGACTCAACTAATTGATGTTCTTTGGAGAGGAAGAAGTGAATAAAAATAATTGAATTATTATTATTGTTATTATTGTTATTTATTATTATTAATATTTATTATTATTATTGTTATTATTATTGATATTTTTTTATTCCCGCTGATTATGTAATTAACATGGATGGAATTTTTTTGTGTTGTAATCGGAAGGTTGTTGTGATTTTAATGAAGAAGATGAAGATGATGACGATGAAGGAGAAGATGATGTTGATGATGACGATGAAGAAGAAGATGATGTTGATGATGACGATGAAGAAGAAGATGATGAAGATGATGATGGTGATGATGATGGTTATATGATGACGACGATTACATGATGAAGATAACAATGACAGTATTCGCTGCAAATCGAAATGAATCAATCTCATTCAAAGTTTCAAACGCATTCAAATGTAAACACACAAAAACAGACACACAAACAAACGTGTAAGTAAATGCACATACAGACACATACAGACACACACACAAACACACACAGACAAACAGACAGACACACGCACGCACGCATACAAGTAGCTATCTACGTAAACACACACTACTTAGAAAGCAAATGGAGCATGAAACTTGTACATACCTCGGGGTAACTGCTAATAACCTACTGGTCTATATTGAAAGCGCACGTTTCCGTTGCTTTCTGTGTGTGTTTGAGCGTGCGTGCGTGTGCGTGTGTGTGCGTGCGTGTGCGTGCGTGTGCGTGTGTGAGTCCATCTTCGTTTCGAGGTTACTCAAGCGTGTGGTTCATATATGCACGGATGTATGTATCTCTACGTGCGTTCGTTTTTTTTGTTTTTTTTTTCAAATTCAAACTAAAAGTTCCGAAGAGACACGTACGCACATACAAAAACAGACACCCCTAAAAACAAAGAGATGGATAGAGAGATGAAAAAAGACACACACACACACACACACACAGAGAGAGAGAGAGAGAGAGAGAGAGAGAGATAAAATGAAATGACCGACTACGAGAAAGAGACATACTCAGAGTTAACAAAAAGAGGACAATGGAAATTAATAAAAAAATCAGATAAACTGAGGAAAAGAAATAAAGTAATTGTGTGTCAGTGCGTGTAATTGTGTGGTTTACGCTACCTCTTTGATGTGCTGAGTTTATGGGAGGTGGAACTGGTGATGATGATGGTGGTGATGATGATGACGATGATGGTGACGATGGTGATGATGGTGGTGAAAATGGTGATATATAAATCTACGAATATATTAAACGTTCAAGTTAATACGATTGATAAACATAGACCAACACATATACAGGCATTTGTTTATCCATTCATTTATTCATTCACTCATTCATTTGTTCATTTATCCAATTATACTTTTGTCCATCTCTTCATCCATTCATTCATCCATCCATCTACTTGTTCATTCATTCATTCAAGTAATGCAAACACAAAAGCATTTGAAGCAACAGGTGAAATATGATGATGCATGGATGCACAGACACCTGTAGTACGTCTGTGCTCACGTACACGTCTGTACATTCATTCATTCATTCATTCATTCATTTGTACATTTATTCGTACATTCGTTTATTCGTTCTGTACGTTCATTTATTTGTAATGAACGATCGCTTATCTGTTTGCACAATCATTTAGTTATTCGTTAATTTAATCATTCAGTGAGTGAAAAACTTACAAACGAACAAGCAAACGAACGAACGAACAAATACACAAACAAACAAAAGAATAAACGAATAGACAGACAGCAAAAAATAATAGACGAACGTGAACGAAGAGATCAAGTTGGTTGTTTAAGGTAGAATTTGTGTTGTTCGATCAATCAGAGCGTATTATTAAGAAGGCGACCTTTCGTAGCTCTAGAAATTGTAGTAGAATAGTAGTAGTAGTGGTAGTAGTAGCAGCAGCAGCAGTAGTGGTAGTAGCAGCAGCAGCCGTAGTGGTAGTAGCAGTAAAAGTAGTAACAATAGCGTTATTAGGTTTACTAAAGTTGTAGTATTAATATATGCTAAAATATTTATAGTACTTCTACTACTACTACTACTGTAGCAGTTGTAGTAATAGTATTAGTAGTAGTGGCAATGGTAGTGGTGGGTAGTAAAATTAGAAGCTCACGTCTCAAAAACAAATAGAGAGATAGCGAGAGAGACAATGAAACAAGAATTACACTAATTAACGAATGAATTAGTTCGCTTCAATTGTTTCATTCATTCATCTCTTCCTTCATTCCATCTATTATTTTATTCTGCCAATCCATCCACCCATCCATGCATTCATTCGCTCGTTCAACGGTTCACCAATCGATTTCGATTTTATTTCTGTTCTCGGCGCAACTTCTTCTCCCTCTTTGTTCATTAAGCATCTTGAAAATTATTTCAATCATTCATCTTCATCTTCTCCTGTGCTTGTTGCGACCATGATTTCCGTTCTAATTATGACTAATTAAGTTGCTAATGTCATGTGCGTTGTTCTTGTGCAGTGTCGGCTAAGATTTCCATTCTAATTTTGAGAATTGTGGTGTTGTTGAGAGTTGTGTTGTTGAGAATTGTGGTATTGTTGTTGAAAGTTGTGTTGTTGTTTAGAATTGTGTTGTTGAGAATTGTAGTGTTGTGTCTTATAGATCTTTGATCTTTTTCTAGCTCTGTCAGATGTAGAAATTCTTTTCGATTCGTCACTTCATAACAACTAACTATTTTTCAAAAATTTGAAGATTAATGAAGTTCCAAAAGAGTTGGACAAAAAACATCGATTCATTTAAAAATATTTTTATAAATGCGTCAGTGCTGTAAAATAATTAAAAACAGTTGGAAATCATGATAGAAAATGAGTATTACAAAAAACTTGTCGTATGTCTCCACGGAAATAAATTGATGTTCCGACATAAAATATTTAAATGAATTGTTGTTAGCAATAATATTAAAAGCTACATTGAACATTAAACTAAGACACAATTTTCAAAATATAACTCCACTGTTTAATGTACGTATAAACTCAATCTGAACTCAAATTTTTAAATTTGTTGAAAAACGCTGAAAAAACTCGTTCAAAAACTATTATAGAATACAATGAGATGAGAAATAGAACCGCAATGTAAAACAGACCAACCATTCTCCTATATAATAAACTGAAAAAGCAATGAAGAATGTTAAAAAGCTGACAGAATATGAAATAGGTAGTCTAAAATAAAGTAAAACATAAATATTATATAACAAAAAATAAAACATCAAATGCACGTGTAAAGTTAGAAAATTGAACTCAGGGGCAGTTGGGTTGAGTTTCACAGGGTATGTTAAGCCTGGTAAGGACTCTTGTCATCGGCGAGTACGTATCTATATCATTTGATTTTATTATAATTAATTAGCTAATTATATTATTATCATAATATTATTTAATTATATCACCGTATTAGTACATAACTAATAATTTAAACAAAGAAACTAACTCAACTATCTGCAATGATAGATGAATCATTTTAGATAATCTAAAAAAATTGTGAATTGAAAAAATAAATAAACGACCAATTATTTAAATGAACAAATAAATAGACACAAATAAATGGACAAAAAAACATAATTCAGCAAAAAGTTAACAAATCAAAAACTTTTTTGGGACCTGCAGCATTCAAATTACTAGCGATTTTATTACAAATTTCGCCACTGTTGGTATGAGAGAGAGAGTTATTGCTCTTTGGGACGTTCGGGAAGTCAGTGAAGGTTACGTAAAAATATTTCCATGTAGCTAAAACGAGAAAAAAAAACAAACAAAAGATATATCCATCAAATAGAATTAAATTCAATCGTATCCACAATAACCAAACGGCAGCGGAAAAACATGACAGACAACTAGCTAATTCTTAAAATTTGTACGAAAAATTCATCAAAACGACCACAGATAACATACTATGGTTAACAATATTTTGAAGCAGTGAATTTCTAAAACGAATAACATCGTCTTGATTGACGTCGCCATCATCATCACTGCTATTATCATTATTATCGCCATTATAATTTTCCTCATCACGGCTTAATTTGCCATTTAAGTGAGTAGTTTTATTATCATCAGCGATAGCAGAAGATGAAATGTGATAAACATGGCTGCCGAATTCAATTGTAAATCTATCTTCTACCAGTGGCCCAACTTTCAAACTGACCTAGAACATTTAATTTGTCAAAAACATCATTTATTAAGTTATATAGATGATCACATTATAATTAGGTGACAAATGGATTTAATAGCAAAATAATTTAAAAAAAAAATAGCTACATACATCATCAAGTTTAACGTTAAACCACAGCTGTCTATTACTTGTGCCATCAATGTATTGGCTAAAATACACATCCAATGATTCCATGCTTAAATTACAATAACACATGGAATGAGTGATAGCTTCTTTTTTATCTTTGCTCTGCTGATTATCAAAATTCGAATATATATATTTATATATATAATTTACAACACAATTAATGATATAATAAAGAATAGCAGTTTTTCTTTAGTTTAAAAGAATAGCACAAGAGCAAAACTTATAACAAACATTCTTCCGAATGTCCAGCAATCCATGCCAACAATGTTCACTCTCTCTTTTTCCACCTCCACATCTCATTTTTCCAGTCGTCTGTTGGCGTTCACAGCAGTTAACAATTTCATGATTGGCTGGGGAATTTTTGATGCAGTTGGGTCTCAAATGGAGTCGACCACAAAACTGACCAAACAGTGGAAGAGAATGGACATCTGTTTTTAAAAATCGGGTGTCCATTCATTTAATTTTATTTAATTAATGTTGTTTAATTAATCCGCTTATTTGATGTAATTTAATTAATTTAAGTCAATTCATCGAAAGACTAAATAGAAAACAAAAGAACAAACAAAATGAACCAACAAGCAAACCAACAAACAAACAAATAAACGAACGAACAAACCAAACCATTGTTGTTGTATACGTTGAGATTGAAAGCAGTTCTCACATTAAGGACATCATCAACTGATACACAACCATCAGCCACGCGCTCAAACATCACCTCCCTTATGATAAATTTCAAAAATTTATTCTTATAAATCAATAAAACTCAATTTGATTAAACATTCAATAATAATAGTACCATAGACTAATAAATTTAAATAATAAAGTCCCAAACAAGAGGGATGAATCTAATAATAAACACATCCAAACATTTCTGATAACTTTCATTCATAATTTGACAGCTGCTAGTAATCTCAGACTTCATAGTCATTTACATTTATGAATAAACATGCATATAAGTTTGTAAATAAATGAATAAATTAATTAATTTAATTGAATAATTGAAACAACAAAACCCAACTAACTCATGTAAGGCTGATGAAGAGGAGTGGTCTACATCATTAACATTAGTTTTCTGGTAAGAAGGTAAAAAACATATTCAAACTAACAAACTTTAAAAGGTTATAAAAACGATTAAAAATTTTATGAATGAATATGAGAAATTGCTGAAAATCTATGCATATGGGCTGTGTGATTGATTGTGTAATGGCTGAAGTTCCTGGCATGTAAGGTGCGTCGATTTGCATTAAAAATACACTAAAATATACAAAAAAAAAGAATTATACTAAATAAAATAAAATAAATATATATATATGTGAAAAATAAAAGAAGAAACATACAAAACTGAAGGAGACATCACTCAATCTGCTTCTCAATTTTTTTGGCGTCGTACCAATTGATAGGAATCTCGATGAGTTTGAAGTCTTTCTATGTGCATACACCTCTATGGTGCAGGTGAAATCTTTAGGAACGTCATCACTAAAGATGGGAGCGTTCGTTCAGGGTTTGAAGTTATTAAGAAATTGTTTATTGTAGCTTGAAGATATCGAGAAACAAATGGTAAAACCAACGTGAAGTGTGTTTGTATTAGTACTTTTAGAGATTTTAGATCTCATGGCAATGGTTGATCATTTTTTTTTTCAATGATTTCAATTTGTCTTACTTAAATATTAATCTAAAAGCCACTTATATCCGAACTTTTCAAATTATAATTGATATATAATTTGAAAAGTTCGGATATATATCATAAAGCTTATTTCCATCCTATAAGCTTACACAAAACAAACTGAATTTTTGTTTAAAAAATAAATAATTGGAAAACAATTTACAAATAAAAAAAAAACTGAAAACTAACAAGATTATGATCTCGTCAAAGAGTAGATCAAAAGTATTCTTATCAACATTTGCCAGTAGTTTTGTCTCAAAGAACTGAGAGCCAATGTTTAACAAGCAAAAAACAGAGTAGGCCTTTGTGTCTGTGGATAAGAAATGTGAAGAATGTACACCCTATTGTAAAAGCTCAATGTAAATCTTAATTAATGCTTTCTCATACATTCATGATGTTCTAATACAGAATGCTTATATTTGTACAAAAAACATAATCATCATCATTACAGTCAACAATACAATATCATCATCATTATCATCATCATCATCAATATAACTATCATCAATACTAATCATTATTATTAGTATTAACTGCAGATTAACATTTCAACGAAACAAAGAGCAAAAATAAAAGCAAAGAAAATTAACCAAATCGATGTAAGAAATTATCCGAATCCTTCCATACGAGTGGAACGCTCAGATCTGTAATCATCACCATCATTATCACCATCATAATCATCATCACCAGCAATACTATGATCAGCATCATTAATATCACAATCATCATTATTTTTAACATCATCCTCATCATTAACATCATAACTGTAAAGTAATTAGAATTAATTACTTGATATGGCAAAACTTGCCCTGCAAGGCTGCACATTGTTGCTGCAATTGGCATTCAATAAAAAAACAACTCAATTTTTAACAAATAAGGTATTGAAAAAATATAATGTCATTCCAAGATTCAACAGAATTTAATACAAACGTTAATAATAATATTAAAAGATTAAAAGTATTAATAACTCGATGAAATACTTTATAAAAGAGTTGGATGGATCGAGTAGAACTTTGTGAGCTCTGTAATCTTGTATTTCCAGTACGAGAGCCTTTAATTTTTTGTTAAGAACAATCTGCCTAATTGCAGCATCCAGTAGATTGGTCACACCGCCTCCGCTACAACTGGCTCTCTTTAATTTTTTAATCCCCTCTAACAATTTTAGCTCTATAGATATTTTTTTTCGGCATTTGAGTTCCTGCCAAACAAACAAGAGAATTTAATCCCAATGTAACAGTAAATGCTAAATATGAAGTAATACTTTTTAAACAAATTTGAATATTCTACTACTACAGTAAATAGTTGCTTATTACCACTTCATCCAGATTACTGAAATTTTCTGAGAGAATATCTTTAGCACATTGCTGATAATACAAATCACTTGTATCAATTCTATGGCCATTAGCAATGTTATTTGTAGTAGTTGTAGTAGCAGTGCTAACATTCTCATCATCATCATCATTATACTTTTTACTTTCATTAAAAGTAAAACGTTTTAATTTGAAATCCTTTATGAAAGATTTCCTAATCGATCGTTGGAGTTTAGAGGTGGATGATGGCGGCCTGACTCGAGATATTTTTGTAGAAACTGAACTCAGTGCATGTAAACTTTTCTCTGACAGCAAGGAGATTGCATGTCTCTGTTAAAAAAATTATCATTCTTATATAATTTACTCACATGAGAAGCTTACACGTTATTTTATCGTTAAATTACAATTAATTTCACCATGATTATAAAATGAAATTAATTAAAAAATTTTAATTTAAAAAAAAAAAGACAAAATTTATTAACTAACATTTTTACCAGATTTAGTATTATTTCTGAGGATGGCCGATTCACCGTAATCTGTTTGCTTTTGCATTTTTGAAAATAAAAAACACTTTTAATAAGTAATAAAACAACTTTTTAATAACTTTTCAGTGAAACTCGTCGCGAAGAAATCACCGAGTGAACGATTTACGCCAAAACTTTTAAACTTGATAAGAGCTAAACGGCAGAACGGCAGGCACTTGGCCGAATGGCAGATTGCTATTTATATGAATATCGACCTAAAACTCTATTACAGATTGTTTTAAAATATTGAATATTTATAAAACAATTTACTTAATAACCAAACAATATAATAAATAGAAAGTGACAACCACAAGTACTTCTAAATTTTTCAGATAGAGACTTTGTGCAATTCAAAATATTTTGCTTTTCCATTCATTCACGCTTTTTGTCCTCTTTTCGCGGCTTTGCATCGATTTGAAATATTTTTTCTCAGAAAAAAAAACAAACGAAAGCCATGGCTGCGGAAGTTGCGAGTAAATAAATTTTAATCGTTCGATAAATTCGCGATAAATTTAATAACAATTTAATTTTTTACGAATTTCCAGTTACGCCGTTACGGTTGCGGAGTCCTGGATTAGTGTCGCCATCTGGCCGCCGAGCACTAAGTGTCGTTACGTCAAAAGGAATGGTGGATTCTCTAGGCAGCCGGATTCTGACGAACGATGATGACCACGAGAAGAACAATCAAATAATCGATTCCGCTAAAAAATCGTTTGTCAAATTTTTCTCTTTCTACCTGATTTGTTATTTATAACTGATTCCTCATTTTTTGGGTTATACTAGTGGTAATCTAAAACTATAAAAATAAAAAGCTTAATTCTAGTCTAGAGTCAATTTAGAAAAATAGTATAATATAAGAAGTAAATAAATGTCAACTGGAGTGTTTGCTTGAAAAAAATTAGGAAAAGTGATGTACAGACGGAACCAGTGACAAGAACAGACGTCAATGCCAGTGACCACCTTCAACTTTGTCTAAAATTATCCGCTGAAAATGTTAGTCTGTTCTATTTTTCATGTTAAGTGACTTGATTTAATAATGATATCAATTGATTTTTTCTTAATTCTATAAAATTTATGACATAATAAAGTCATTTAAATATTTTCAAAAATTCATAATTTAAATTACAATGGGGTTTATCTTCTCCACTTCAACAGAAAATTACAAAGAAGAATGCATTTGATCTTCACCTCATCAACATTGCTGAAGATGTCATCATAGGCAAGGGTGATACTGACTTCAATGTTAGATCTTCTTTTATATTGTGTCAGTTATAATTCAGAATTCACATTGGCGCATGTCTACACGTTCACTTGTTCATCCAATTTTAGTCTTTTTAATTAATTTAAACTGTTTAAGCATTTTTTCAAATACTCGCGTTAAAGTTTAAAATAATGAAAAATTAATATTCTTATATAGCTAGCAGCCTATGCACTTGAGGCTTGTGCCAAGATATACGGTTGCAGAGTCGATTCGTTGCATGACATTGCCTGCAAACTTTCCACACGTCTCAAGGTGGCCACTAAGGATGGCGAAGATGGTGATGAAGATCGATCGACAATGGAAGACCCCGGAAGTAGGGTGTTTAAATAGTAATTTTCCAAAGTTTTTTAAAATAAATATTATGTTTTGTAGTTTCATACTATTTGGATTCTCATTTTGGTCGTTGTTGTTGGTTTTTGTGAAAATTTAACATTTTCTGAAAAAAAACTGAATACAAAAATAATAATTCAGGAATTTATATGAAATTTTTTTTGTTGAAAACTCACCAAGGGCTTCCAACTGATGAGACGCTCAACGATGAGGAGGCTGATCGACAGAAGGAGAAAGAGAAGAAGAAGAAGAAGAAGAAGAGCAAGGTCATCGAAACGAACCTGAAGAATATCACCCTTGATAACCTGGACTCTGAACTCGATGTTAGTGATAATGTTAATAACAATAATAATGAATAATGGTGAAGGTGTAATAATAAAAAAATAAGATTGGTTCTGATTAAAATGATGATAATAAAACGCTATATATATATATATATATATATATATATATATATATATATATATACATATATATGTATCTATATAACACATAACTCAAATTCATCCCCACTAATTCACCTATACCCCTCCCACCATTCCAGATGAACCCGTACTTCAAGAAATCCATAACAGCATTCGACATGGGTGCCTCTAAAAGTCTGATCCTGAACCTGCATCACACCTACAATGACACCTGCTCCGTTATGACAGATCTCAACAAACCTTTCAACATCTGGGATATTCTTGATGATGATGTTCAGCAGCAGCAGAAGCAGCTATCCAAAGCAGCTGTCCACTATGTTTATGTTGACAATTTAGTAGGTTGGTTGTTTGGGATTTTTGGTTCTTCTCTAATATTATTATAAATTTTGAAATTGCAAACCTAGCTTGCACACAATTTATACAATTTGAGATTTGTTAAGAGTGATATGGCCGCTTATTGTTGTTCATTTTTTTAAGGATTGTGCCTTTTATTATTTTTCTTCTGTCCTATTTTTCAGCCCCACTGAAAAAACTGGCTTCCTCATCGAGACTCATCTGCCCGACTTTTGACAACTTTAAATTCAGTTCGGACAACAGTGTTAGGGCTGCTGTTGATTGATTGGCTGGCTGGCTGGCACATTAGTTGATTGATTGATTACATAAATGAATGAATGAATAAATGATTGAGAGAATGAACAAACAAACTAATAGATGAATCATAAATTAATAATTTTTTTTTCTCAAATTGAAAACAGCAACCCTCCGTTGACCTATCCTTCTTTGACAAGTACAGATTCGACAAAGATGCAGAACCAATCACCAATGACAACAACAACAACAACAGTAGTGACACCAACAATGATTTTTATGACGATGACGTCATGGATCACGACGTTGATAACGTTGTTAGGAGCGATAATGATTCAACTCAAGTTAATCTTCACACCTCAAGTAAGGGCCTATGAGTTAATTAATTATGTTAATTAATTCTTCTAAAGACTGTTGTTAATATTAATGTGATGAATGTTTTTGTTTATTGGTTAACGTTATTGTTATCTGTAATAAAAACGAAGGAATTGTGATAAGAAACTATGTGTTGCCTGTTATTTATGGTCTATAATATGATTGTAACCATTCTATTTTTTAGGTCATACCTAGCCTCATTATGAATATTCATTATATTAATTGGGTATTGTGTAGCCTCATTATGAATAATAATTTATGCTAATTATCTAGGCAGCGCTGTCATGCTGACTGACATGAGTGGTGACATGCTCAAGATGCACGAAACTGTACAGAAAATAAAGTAGGATGATGATGAAAGTGATGACGACAGTGAATTTGATGATGATGATGATGATGGCTGCATGTAAGATGATTATGCAAATGATCAACTCTTTTTTTACACCCCCCACTTCTGAACATTTTAGAGCCGGAGATATCTCGAGTTTAAGAGATGCTCTGGAGCTGAACCACGAAGGTTCCATGTATAAAAAAGATTTTCTCAAAATGTGGGCGGGACCTGACCACTGGAAGAAGTCACGTGGGTGGAATCTAATTTGTTAATTAGTCTTTGATTGATTGCTGGTTTTGTTCAGTAATTGTGTTTGGTAATATAATGTAATATACTGTGTAATATAAATGCTTAACATTTGTAATCAACAAAACAATTAAACCATGCAAGTATGTCTACATATTTTAGGTAGCATAAGTTGTTGAATTCAGTAAGAAGGAGGTCAAGGTTCATAGCATTGCAAGTTGTTTTTTAAATTCTATCACTTCGTGAACACGATGAACACAATCATTCAAACAGTGAACATCCCAACGAAAAAAAATTCTGCAAGGACGAAAGAAACTTTCCTAGTGAAGTTCACAACGCAGAGCAACGTTGAAGAGAATGACAGAGATTCTGAACTACCCGCGACAAATAAAAGTAAAAAATCAAAAACGAAACTAATAGCAGACGACGCTGAGTGGCATTTCATGAAAACGAAAGCGAAGACGACTCGAGGCCTGGAGACGTTTCTCGAGAGTGACGGTAGGTCGCTGCTCCTGCCGGAAGTCAGTGAGTACGAGGAGGGCTCGTTGATGCAGCTCTTCCACGCAAATGTCAAGGTCTGGCTGGTTGACGATGGTGATGGTGTCAAAAATGATGATGTGGCAAATAATTTTGATGGTCATGGTGATGTTTTTATGGTCGTAGGTCAGTCGTAGGTCAGGTCATATTGGGTAACCCTGCTTTGTCATGTGCAATGCATAAGATGTATTTATTCGTGTATTGCACATGTGTTTATGTATGCTGCGTAAGTTTGTTTTTGTGTGTGGTGTGTGTCTGCTGTTGATACCTCTGAAGCAGGTGCTACTATGAAGGAATGACCATTAACCTCTACCTATTGACGCTTGATTTAACCTTTAATAATAATTTGCTTTCTGTATGCAGATCGTGGACCACACACCTGAGAACCAGGCCTCAGTTGATGTGCGCAAGTACGACTACAACAACAACAACGATCGACTTAACTTTTGTCCATCGGTACGTCATGGTCATCATTGGTCGTCATCATCATCTGACCATCGTTGTTGTTATCGTCAGATGATCAGATGTTCATCATCATCATTTTCGTCATCAGTCAACCCATCAGTATTACCACCACTATTCTTTTTTCGTTGTTAGTCATTATGTGACCATCGATACAAATTCAAACCCACCACCAGCAACCAAACAACAATGGGGGGGAGGATGATGATGATGATGTCGGACCGTACAATGGTGCAGCTGATTATGGCGACGAGGCAAATGATGATGATGCAGCGAAATCACTGGCAGGTGATGGTGGCGCTCCTGCTGATGCCGCTATCATCAACGACGACGACGATAACGCTGATAATGGCGATGATGATATGAATGGTGGCACGTTCATTAACCAGGTCGAGAGGGAGGGGAATGGCGGGGCTGAGTTGGCGTTCGGTGAGGATCTTGTGCCCCAGCCGAGAATGGTTAGGTGTGGGGTGTGATGGTGGTGTGGATGGTAATGATGATGATGATGGTGGTGGTGTGAATGGTGATGTGGATTGTTGTGAGGATGAGGATGTGGTGTGGATGGTGATAATGAGGACGGTGTGGAACATTTCTGCCTTGATCGTTCGGTTATGGTGATGTTGGTCTTTTTGTAATACTTGTTTGTACTGCTTTCTTAGCTAACCGTGCATTCCATATAGATTCCAAGGACGGAGATAGATTACGTTAGAGTTGATAAGAAGATAGACATGGACCTACTCAAGAAAGTACTCTATGGAATCATCAAGAAAAATTTTGTTAGTCCATTTCTAGAAAATCATTTTTTTAAACTTTTGAAAAAACTATTTAGATTTAGGTTCAAATTTTTATTTATTTTTTTTTAAGGATAAGTCGACAAGTGTCTTGTTCACACAACTCTACAAAGACCTTCAGAAACAGTTGCCTAAAAAATTAGCCTCAGACCTTAGCATCCCAATAGCATTCTCTTCATTACTTCATCTGGCCAATGAGCATGTGAGTTGGTTGCTCTCTTTATTTTCATTAGTTGACTGGCTTTTTAGAGACCTAAAATTTGTATTCTGATTAGTCGAATGGTCCGTTGATCGTTTGCAATTTTAATTTTAATTGGATGGGTTGTCTGTATACCAATTATGAACTACTTTTTATTGGTTAAATGATTTTTTTTGAAAACGGTAATGATTGAAAATTTTTAAGTAGAAATAATTTTTACAACCATTCTTTAGAGCTTGTACCTTGAGTCTACACCTGACGACGGCTACACAGAAGTGGTTGTCGCCAAAGCAGTGACGTCATAGTGACGTCACTGCTACACCTATCTTCTGTTCTCATCACCACTACCACCAGGGTACTTTCCAATGAGTGGCATCGCGTCATCATTTTTAATGTCGCCACCATTAAATTCGATCACCACTTTCATCATCTTCTCGTTTCAAAGTAATCTTGGCATTGTTTCATGCTTGTGTGTGCGTGCGTGTGTGTGTGCGTGTGTGTGTGTGTGTGCGTGCGTAGCAAACGTAAACTGCCTTATGTACATAATGAATGATCCAATGTTTATTTATACAAATTGTTCACATTTCTGAAAACGTTTTTCCAACCATTAACTCAAAAAATTTTGTTTACATAGCAGAAAGCTTTTAAACATAGAATATTCCATATATACATACATGTACAGTACCAGCTATGTTTATTATTAATAATAATAACCTTTTTTAATCTAAATAATGAGTTTTAAGATCAAAAAGTTGTACGGTGTCCTAGATTTTAACTTTATTAACTGGTTTACCTTGTTGGCGATAATGGAAAAGGATTTTAACGTTAATGTTTTTATTGGTTTTTAATAGATTTTTGTAAAAATTTTCATGTATTTATTTTTTACGAAAATTGTAATAAAATTCATTATCTCCAAATAGTGCATGTCTAAAGCAGCTCAGGTTTTATAATTTGCTCTAGCTAGTAGTTTGTAGAAATGTATTTTTTTGATTTAACTGCCATCTAGTTCTTAGGTTATTATATACTATATGTGACGTCATTTTAGCTGAGACATGACGTCATTTTAGCTGAGAAATGAAGTCATATTAATTGAGGCATGTCTAAATTTTAGGTTTATAATTTTGACTGATTCATTCAAACTATTTTTAATTAAACTATTTTGATATAGTTTGTGTTGTAATCGGCTGAATATAACTGATATGACGCCTGTGTCTCGTTATTATTTTAAAACGAAACGATATCGTAATTTGCCTGAGACCAAATGAATCCTATAGACCGTATTGTTTTTTACATTTGGTAACATTGAAGGGGAAGGATTGTTGTAGCATACTCGTAAAAATAAAGTGGCAAATCGTTTTGAGATTCAGGTCGAAATGGTTCGTAAATTTCTAAATGAATACTTTGCTTTGAAGCTGCAAGTCAATATACTCGAATAGCACATTCTGTTTTAGTTAGTCAAAAAAAACTCACAAAAAGAGATTAAAAAAACTGATTTTGTGTGTGTGTGTACGTGTGTGTGTGTGTGTTTGTATTTGTATGTTCGTGTGTGTTTGTATTTGTATGTTCGTTTGTATTTGTATGTGCGTGTGTGTTTGTATTTGTATGTGTGTTTCATGCTGACAAAATTTATGAACGAAATTGTTGAAAAGAAATTACCTTGTGTTAATAGTATATTAAGCTGAAGAGAAAATTAGAAAAAAATTACTGAAAAGATGAATGAATTAAAAAATTATATATATGTATTTATTTATAGATTAGATATATATTATAATTAAATAATTATATATAGATATGCATAATATGTATAAATTGAAATACTATTGAAATACAAAAGTTTTTTAAATTGAGCTTTTGTTGCTTGTTTTTTGTAATTTTATTTGCATGCTTGTGTGGATATGTTGTATGTGTGTTTTGTTGTTGTTTGTGTATGCGTCTGATTGTGTGTGTTTGTGTCTGTCTGTGTGATTGTGTTTTTGTGTGTCTGTGTGTGTGTGTGTGTTTGAAAACATTAGAAACATTAGCACACTGTTTGGAGATGTATTACAAAACGTGAACTTAGTTTAAAATCTAAAAATTTGTAGAAAAAAATTTTACTTGGGAATATTCAATAGGAGGTGAATTCATTTACAATATACATGGGATTCGTATTAATGTCGGATAATAAATAAACTACCATATAGTTATCCGGGTATCAATAATTCATCTAAGTTCCGGCAACAAATTATAATTAATTGAATAATTAATTGAAAATTAATTTTTTCATGGTAACGGACAACAGTTATATATAATAACACATTTGGAATGATTTATAAATAGAAATTTATGCAGAAGAAAGAACATATCCCAAAATAATGATGATAAAGTTATTGGCGATGATGAAGACGACGATGATGATAATGAAGGGAATGGTGATAACAGTGATTGAAATGATGACGACGACGAAGAAGATGACGACCGTGCTGATGGTGATAACGATGGTGATAATGCAACGGCGATGTTCTTTAAAAAGTACTTGGACATTATAAGGGGGGTTTGCTGGGATGAAAAAATGTCAGAGAGTTAACTGCTAGTGGCATGTCGTCAGAGGCAAGCAAGTCAGAAGTGAATGAAAAAGAGAGAGAGAAGAGAGAAAGAAAGAGAGAGAGAAGAGAGAAAGGTATAGAGATGTAAGTAAATTGATGGGAGGAAAAACAAATATCAGAGAGAAGAATAGAAAGTAAGGGTAAAAAAAAATCGAATCAGAAAAACGTAGAATAAAATTGAGAAAGAGGAGAGAGGAAAAGACTGATCTGAGGAGGCGAAAAAATAAATTAACTTAAAGAACTGCGGAATGAATTATAGAAATGTTATAGTTTATTTTAACATAACGGAGTGCAGTTAACGAATGCATTGAAAAGAAAGTTTATAGTACACGGGCTGAAAAATGAGGAATTTAAGTATAGAGTCATTTAATTACCGAAGGAAGAAGAATGAAATATTGTTGAAAAATTATTTAAAAATCACATAAAACAGCCTTATGACGCGCTCGCTTACTTCAATCGGTTTTAAAAAGCAAGTTATCGATTTCAAATAGGACGAATACCATCAAATTTTAAACCAACAATTATCGAACCACCAACTAATACCGAACGACCAACGAATATCGAACCATCACATCGATCCATCACTATTCACATGCCCATGATTCGTCTGAAAAAGGACCTTAAGCCGTATGAACATTGATTCCGACAGACTTACATTGCACAATGCATTTTATTTTTTTTAAGATTTCTTGGAATAAAATTCAGTAGCAGCGTAGTTGAGTGACTGTTGGTAGTCGTTAGAAGAAGTGGTCGATGACACACATGGAGGTGACACCACACTGCCTGTACTTCAGCGTGTCGATGAACTCTCTCGTCCTATTCATATCAACCAAAGCATCGCCGATCTCACACAGCAGGACGTACGAAAATGAATCGTCGTCGTTGAAATTCTCGTTATTGCTGCAGTGGTAATTGTAGTTGTGGTAGTGCTGGTGGTGCTGCGACGACACGGGCGATCCTAACAACGACATCGTATCGCTGTAGCTGTAACTGCTTCCACCGCCAGTGAGGCTGCTACTGCTGCTGCTACTACCCAGACGAATCTTGTGGAATGTCACTCGTTCGAGTTTCAAGCGTTTCGGTATGTTTTCAACAATGTAATCGGCACCACTCCAATAGGTCCAGTTCTGGTCCAGGCTGTTCAAGTTACCGACGGTTTTGAAGGCGGAAACGGAAAAGGCTGTGTTGGGGTTGGAAGGTCGTTTCGGCAGGAGGGGCGTGTGTGGAGTGACGTAGGTGCACATCTCCTGGTAGACTCCTGCAAAGATTTGTAACACTGTGTCATCAAATTTTACACTAACTAAATAATCCAGCAATGAATCGTAAATCTTCAATCAAATTCATAATTGAATACATTTTCATGAAAAACAAAATTTTCCATTAAGAAAGATAAAAAGGAGAAAAATGACAAAAAAAAGGGGACCTCTAGCTTTGTTGGCCCTTTCTAATGAGGCAAGTTGTAGCGGACTCCTGGCGGGCCTCGATATCATGCTGTCATTTCTTCGATCTGTCAATCTCACACTGACGTCATTAGTCGGCTGGTTGTAGACGATGTAATGTAGGTATGGGTACTGAGCTGTGATGAAGATGGTGATGAAGATGGTGATGAAGATGGTGATGAAGATGGTGATGAAGATGGTGATGAAAATGGTGATGAAGATGGTGATGAAGATGGTGATGAAGATGGTGATGAAGATGGTGATGAAGATGGTGATGAAGTAGTGATAATATCTGGTGTCGTTTGACAATCACTTTCACCATCGTCATCATCTTCTTCATTATTCTCGTCATCAATGTTGTCATCATCATTCTCTTCGTCATCGTCGTCGTCATCATCGTCGTCGTCATCGTCGTCATTATCTTCTTCAGTGACTAAACAATGTAATGATCATTATGATAACCAAGAACATGATATGATAAAATACGAAAATCATGACGAAACAGAAGAATACGATGATTGGACAATAAAGAAGATGCTGATATAAAAGAAGATGATAAAGAGAGAAGATGATGCCGGTAGAGGGGAGGAAGGGAAGATGGCTTCATTAAATATGTAACACCTAAGTTCTCTCTCTCTCTCTCTCTCTCTCGCTCTCTTCTCGACGCCGTAACCAATGTACGCGCGTGTCGGCCAGTCACGTGACTTGGTGATAAATATAATGATGATGATGATGATGATGATAATAATAATAATAATAGTAATAATAATAGTGATGATATTAACAGCAATGATGTTGATAGAAATATTTGTAGAGGTGATTTTTGTTACAGTGTACGTAAAAATGGGATGCATTTGTTGCTGAGTTTATTTTTATTGGGACTTTTGATAATAATGTTATTGTTATTATTGCTATAAAAATTATTATTTTTGTTGTTGTTGTTGCTACTGTTATTATCCTTGTTGTTGTTATTGTTGTTTTTTGGTTGCGAAACATTTAGATCGCTTTAATTCTCTCAGGGGTCTATTGCATGCATGCAACTTTACCATGAATCTTTCTATATGTATGCATGCATGCATATATGTATGTATGTATGTAGGTTTGTTATGTATATATGTATGTATGTTTGTTATGTATATATGCATGTATGTATGGATGTATGTGTGTGTGTCATGCGCTGTGTGTGCCATGCGCTGTGTGTGCACGCATTTTAGAATAATGAAACATGATTAATATTTATTACCTGCAGATGGAAGTAGGGAAAAAACATGAGGCGATAAGAAAAAGCTTAACTCGTTTGAAGTAGAAAAAGTTAGAAAGACCCGAAATTAAGTATTATACTCACGAAATTAAACATTAATTTCGTGGAACATACATTAACACACACTCACACACACACTCTCACATACACACACACTCACACACACAAACACACTTACTAACTCATAAAGAATGAATGACTAAAGAAAATGAAGGAATGAAACGAAAGATTGTAAATAAGAAAAAAAACCAAAGTTTTAAAAAAAAAAGATTACTCCGAGAAACAAAAAAATGAAATAGAATGAAATAAAATACAGATCAAATAGCCTTGCAAATTAAATGCAGACTGTCTACAGAAGTTTAAAATTAGCATCAGCAGCATGCGAAGAAGGGACAAATTACTCTCTTTCTCTCTCTTTCTCTCACCCGGAATTAAATTTAAAGTAAATTTAATTAATTTAAACTTAATTGATATAAATTTTCGTTTCAGAGTTAAAAATTTTTATCAATAGAAGAGGCTGATAATGAAAGTTTAAAACACACAGACACACACAGACATACAACCACACAGACACAGAAACTCACCCACACACACACACACACACACACACACACACACGAACAAAAACACAATTACATACGCATACAATTAAATACCCATTCATCAAACGCAACTTAGTACACATACAATATGATGTAACAAGTCAAATTAAAAAGACATAAACACACATACAAACACATATATATATACATACATACATACAAACACATTCTCTCTTTACCACACACATACATACATGCGTATAATTATACTAGTCCCTATGTGTTCAAAATTCTGTTTATACAATTGACTGCATCAGAGGTTAATCTATGTAAACATGTCCCTTCTACAATGGATTGAAATACTCACATACAAACATACATACATACCTACATACATACAAACATACAAACATGCATACATACATTTTTACATACACAAACAAATATACACATTTTGAAATACAAACACATACAGATACCACTTGCACGTTTGTATGGTTATTGTATATGCCCGCCAAATACCTGTTATACAATGGATATGAATATAAATACAAACTATCCCACCATAAATATCAATAAGAGTATACGTGCCTTTACAATTAGATACCAAATACAATACCAAAAATACAGAAGCATTGTATGAATGTTGATTTGCATACAAACATAATATGCGAATATGTTGGTGAATCGTTCTTTATGGCATGTATAAAATTTTGCTTATTGCTGGGACCTTTTGCATGCATGCATGGATGCATGTACCCATGTATTCGTGTAAGTATGTATGTATGTTTCCTAGTTTGTATGGATGCATGTTTGTATGTATGCATATGCATGCATGTTTGTTTGTATGCATGTTAGTATGTATGTTGCCGTTATGTCGATGTGGATAAGTTTTTTTCACACACTGTTTTCACACTGTTTTTGTTTCAAATACTCTAAGTATAACATTTAAGAAAGAAAACTATTAAATTGAAAAGATAACAAAACAACAAACAAACGACTTAAAACAACAAAACAACGTCAAATCAAGCAAAACTGAAAAAAACTCCAAAACTCCAACAAAAAACATAAAATGAAAAATGAAAAAAAAAAACAACAACGTACGTTTATGATCAATGCACCTAAGTAGCATACCCTCCATGAAATTTGTATCCACCTGCATCTTTCTAATGCTACTCCAATAGGGGTCTGCCACAACCGGGAGGCACCCACCGCTCTCATTTTCATAGCCAGGGCTTTGTTGTAGAGGGGTAGTAGGTGTTTGCCGCTGGGGGCCCTTTTGTTTCACTAATTTTTGTGGGTTGTCGGTGAAAAAATCAAAAACAATTCTGAGGTCTGGATAGGACATGCTAGTTGGTTGTTGTTGCTGTTGTTGTTGTTGTTGTTGGTGATGATGGTGATGATGTTGTTGTTGATGTTGCTGTTGTTGTTGATGCTGTTGTTGTTGTTGATGTTGTTGTTGTTGTTGGATTTGAGGAGAAGCGTTTTGCATGGCTACCTGGTTGCGTTGTTGGTTTGTTTGTTAGGCAAAACATTGCATATATTTGAGTGTTTGTGTGTGTGTCGATGTTTGCATGTTTTTTGCACGCAACATAATGTAATATACACTACATATAATTATGTTTGTACGTAATCGAATGTGATTGTATGTTTTTGTATGTGGTTGTATGTCTTTTTGTATGTTTTTGTGTTTGCCTGCTGTTGTATGTTTTTTGTATGTTTTTTTTTCAGTTGTTTTATTGCATTACATTGAATATGTTTGTCAATAAATTCAATTTGAATTGTTGTGATATGGTAGAACGTGTTTCATGATTCAATATAACACAATGTACGGAATGGTCCAT